GGAGATCATGACCTGAGCCAAAGGCAGACACTCAACCACTCAACTGATTGAGCCACACAGGCACCCCAGCATAAAATTCTTACGGGAGAAATATCTTAAAAGAGTACATGACAGGATGTAAGAAAAGACAAACCTTAGGAAAGCAATATTGCCAAGCAAGCATCTCAAGCTAGATCAAATGCTGCAGGAAAAATGTAGAGCCGACCCTGAAAAGAACAGAAAGGAAACCCTACAGGAGGCTTTTTAAAAATAGGTCACTGCCACAAAGTTAAGCAAGAGCCCTGAAGCCCATGGGCTACCAGTCTTGGTGGTCAACTGACAATAGGAGGAAGTAGCAAAGAGAGTAAATCAGCTGCCAGAACTAGACTCACTTCAAAGGGGAGGGGAGGGGTGGAATAGGTGATGGGGATAAAGGAGTACACCTGTGAGCACTGGGTGTGGCATGAAAGTGTTGAACCACAATATCATATACCTAATATTACACTTACACTGTGTTAACTGCAATTTAAATAGAAACTTTTAAAAAGGATAAATTTAAAGTAAAGGCTCCTTACCTGCTATACCTGCTGATCACCAAAACCTAAGCTAAAAACAAAGGTAACTGTAGTAAATCTAGTTTAATCCGGGTTGCAATACACAGGAATGGAGCAAGGGAATGAGGATTGGAACACTTCCTCTCTCTTTCTTAGTCAAACATAAATTTCCAAAAGTGAAGAAAAAACTGGGAAGTGGAGCATAAGCATCCTCTAAAATATAACCAGTAAAGCAGGGAACATGACTTCTACAACAGGTCTCAAAATCTAAGACATCTTTGTGTTGTGAAATCTTCCCTAAGATAGCACAACACCTAACAAATAATAGCAAAAACTCTTTCCATTCTGAAAAATCAGGATTACACTACTTTTCTACCATTCATTCCTCCTTTCTACAGAAGCCAACTATTTCCTTCAAATGCTCAACACAAATAAAAAGAATAAAGCTGAAGAAACTTCCCTATCTTTTACAACATCTGTTGCACTTATTTTAACAGGTTGTTGTAAAGATAAAATAAGGTATGCATCAAAGTCCCTTGTAAAGGTATTTTTTAAATCAAGCTCAAAAAGAGTTTTGAGAGTATGATAAAGATTTTATTAAAGTTTCACATTTGCTTATTTTGATAGAAATACCAGAGAGAACAGAAATGTATAAAAAGACCCAGCACGGGGCGCCTGGATGGCTCAGTGGGTTAAGCCTCTGCCTTCGGCTCAGGTCATGATCTCAGGATCCTGGGATCGAGCCCCGCATTGGGCTTTCTGTTCAGCAGGGAGCCTGCTTCCCTCTCTCTCTCTGCCTGCCTCTCTGCCTACTGTGATCTCTGTCTGTCAAATAAATAAATAAAATCTTTTAAAGAAATAAATTAATTAATTTTTAAAAAAACACCCAGCAGGAGAAGAGAAATAACAAAGATCAGAGCAGAAATCGATGAAATAGAAACCAAAAGAACAGCAGAAAAGATTAATGAAAGGAGGAGCTGGTGCTCTGAAAGAATTAGTAAGACTGATAAACCCCTGGCCAGACTTATTAAAAAGAAAAGAGAAAGGACCCAAATAAATAAAATCATGAATGAAAGTGGAGAGATCACAACTAACACTGAAGAAATATAAATAATTATAAGAACATATTATGAGCAACTATATGCCAACAAATTAGACAATATGGAAGAAATGGATACATTCCTAGAAATGTATAAAATACCGAAACTGAACCACAAAGAAACAGAAAACCTGAACAGATCCATAACCAGCAAGGAAATAAAGCCATAATAAAGAATCTTCCAACAACAGCCCAGGGCCAGATGGCTTCCCAGGGGAATCCTACCAAACATTTACAGAAGAATTAATACCTATTTTTCTGAAACTGTTCCAAAAAATAGAAATGGAAGGAAAACTTCCAAACTCATTTTATGAGGCCAGCATTACCCTGATCCCAAAACCAAAGACCCCACCAAAAAGGAAAATTACAGACCAACATCTCTGATGAATATGGATGCAAAAATTATCACCAAAATACTAGCCAACAGGATCCAAAATTACATTAAAAAGATCATTCACTATGACCAAATGGAATTTATTCCTGGACTGCAAGGTTGGTTCAACATCTGCAAATCAATGTGATACACTACATTAATAAAAGAAAGGATAAGAACCATATGATACTCTCAGTAGATGCAGAAAAAGCATTTGACAAAGTACAGCATCCTTTCTTGATTAAAACTCTTCACAGAATAAGGATAAAGAGTACACAGCTCAGTATCATAAAAGTCATCTATGAAAAACCCCCAGTGAATATCATTCTCTAATGGGGCAAAACTGAGAGCTTTTCCCCTTAAGGTCAGGAACACGGCAGGGATGTCCACTATCACCACTGCTGTTCAACATAGTAAGAGAAGTCCTAGCCTCAGCAGTCAGACAACAAAAAGAAATAAAAGGCATCCAAATTGGCAAAGAAGTCAACTCTCACTCTTAGCAGAGAATATGATGCTTTATGAGGAAAATCCAAATGACTCCGCCCCAAACTGCTAGAACTCATACAGGAATTCAGTAAAGTGGCAAGATATAAAATCAATGCACAAAATCAGGTGCATTTCTATACACCAACAATGAGACAGAAGAACAAGAAATTAAGGAGTCAATCCATTTACAATTGCACCCAAAACCACAAGACACCCAGGAATAAATCTAACCAAAGAGACAAAGGATCTGTACTCAGAAAACTACAGAACACTCACAAAAGAAATTGAGGAAGACAAAAAGAAAAGGAAAAACATTCCATGCTCATGAATTTGAAGAACAAATATTGTGAAAATGTCTATGCTACCTAGAGCAATATACACATTTAATCCAATCCATATCAAGTTACCATCATCTTTTTCCACAGAAATGGAACAAATAATCCTAAAATCTGTATGGAACCAGTAAAGACCCTGAATAGCCAGAGGAATGTTGAAAAAGAAAACCAAAGCTGGTAGCATCACAGTTCTGGACTTTAAGCTCTATTACAAAGCTGTCATCATCAAGACAGTATGGTACTGGCACAAAAACAGATACATATATCAATGGAACAGAATAGAGAACTCAAGAAATGGACCCTCAACTCTATAGTCAACTAATTGACAAAGCAGGGAAGAGTATCCAATGGAAAAAAAGACATTCTCTTCAACAAACGGTGCTGGGAAAACTGGACAGCCACACGCAGAAGAATGAAACTATTTCCTTACACCATACACAAAGATAAACTCAAAATGGATGAAAAACCTAAATGTGAGACAGGAATCCATCAAAACCCTTGAGGAGAACATAGGCAGCAACCTCTTCAACCTCAGCTCCAACAACTTCTTCCTAGACACACTGCCAAAGGTAAAGGAAGCAAGGGTAAAAATGAACTATTGGGACTTCATCAAGATCAAAAGCTTTTTCACATCAAAAGAAACAGTCAACAAAACAAAAAGACAACCAATTGAATGGGAGAAGATATTTGCAAACGACATACCAGATAAAGGGCTAGGATCCAAAATATATAAAGAGCTTATCAAACTCAACATCCAAGGAACAAATAATCCAATCAAGAAATAGGCAGAAGAGGGGCGCCTGGGTGGCTCAGTGGTTGAAGCCTCTGCCTTCGGCTCAGGTCATGATCTCAGGGTCCTGGGATCGAGTCCCGCATCGGGCTCTCTGCTCGGCAGGGAGCCTGCCTCCTCCTGTCTCTCTCTGCCTGCCTCTCTGCCTACTTGTGATCTGTCTGTCAAATAAATTTAAAAAAAAAAATCTTTAAAAAAAAAAAAAAGAAAAGAAATAGGCAGAAGACGGGAACACACATTTCTGCAAAGACATCCAAATGGCCAACAGACACATGAAAAAGTTTTCAATATCACTTGGCAACAGGGAAATACAAATCAAAACCTCAGTGAGATACCACCTCACACCAGTTAGAATGGATAAAATTAACAAGTCAGGAAATGACAGGTGTCAGTGAGGATGCAGAGAAAGGGGAACCCTCCTACACTGTTGGTGGGAATGCAAGCTGGTGCAGCCACTCTGGAAAACAGTATGGAGGTTCTTCAAAAAGTTGAAAATAGAGCTACCCTACAACATACTGGGTATTTATGACATACTGCACTACTGGGACTTTACCCCAAAGATACAAATGCAGTAATCTGAAGGGGCACCTGTTCCCCAATGTTTGCAGCAGCAACGTCCACAATATCCTAACTATGGAAAAAGTCCAGATGTCCATCAACAGATGAATGGATAAAGAAGATGTGGTGTGTATATATATATACATATATATATGTATACACACACACACACACACATATACACAATGGAATATTATGTAGCCATCAGAAAATGAAATCTTGCCATTTGCAACGTGGATGGACCTAAAGATGTTATTATACTAAGAAAAATAAGTCAATCAGAGAAAGACAAATTATCATATGATCTCACTCATATGTGGAATTTGAGAAACAAGGCAGAGGATTATAGGGGTAGAGAGGAAAAAATGAAACCAGATGAAACCAGAGAGGCAGACAAACCGTAAAATTCTTAATCTCTGGAAACAAACTAAGGGTTGCTGGAGTGCAGTGGTTAGGTGGGATGAGGTGGCTGGGTGATGGACGTTGGGGAGGGTATGCATTGTGGTGAGCACTGTGTATTGCCTAAGACTGATGAATCACAGAACTGTACTCCTGAAACAAATAGTAAAATAAAAAATAAGAATAATAATTAAAAAGGAAATAAATACAAACACACAGGTAGCACTGATAAAAGGATTTCTCATAAATATCCCAAATTTTATTAGTACTGGTAAAATCTTAAAAGTACAAGCTAGACACTTCTCTCATTTCTTAACTGAAAAAAAGAAACCTATAAGGGGGAATGCATTCATTCTGTCTTTACAAATATTCTCCAACAGTTTAAAAAAACTTAGTAATACATACTATTATTAGATATATGTCTTACCTATTAAAGATTTTATATTTTCTAAGATTAAATCACTAGTAATATTTCCAGATAAATCTTGCCCCAATTCAGCAATCAGCTTGGCGTAACCTTCATTCTCTTCTCTTAACAAATTGAATTTTTGCTGCTTATAACTGAAATTAAACATCATAAAAGGGATAAAATTAATTCAATTAACAAGCTTGCATACAAGTAATGTATTCTTCTCACTGATTTTTCCTCTCTCTTAGAACAAGTATAAGAACAGTTGTTAAAGTTTTATTTCTTTGTATATTTTTTTAAAATAGAAAATAACAGTGATTCATAAGAGACCCCAATGTTAATTACACAGAGAAAACTAGTAACAGAATACCGCTAATCTCAAGGAACAATAACATGCCACTATTTCCACTGCTAAGAAAATACCTAGAGCATAGCCATACTTGTAAATTATTTTACTGGTAATAATAAAAGCACTGAATATTATTTTAACTTCTAATACAGAGAAAAGTTTCACACAGATAGAGTTCACTGCTGACTCAATAATCCTAGGGCTTCTTTTAAAAGGAAAAAACATAAGGCATGCTAACAACAACAACAAAAATTTTTCAAACTGCCATTAGAAACATCAAAATGAGAACTAAGGAAACATACTCAGATACTTGATCTGCAACATAAAGATAAATGTACTTACAAGAGTTTTGTCTTGATTTTAACTGACTTTTGATTGAACTGCTGTGATTGTTTGATAAGCCCTAATGATTCCAATGTTTCTGGATCCAGGCGTTCCTTTAGAACTGTGTCTGAAACTAAATACTGTATTAAAAAATATTAAAGGCCATTTATTCCTTAGCATTGTAATACATCCACCATTTAAATGCATTCAAAATAAGTTTTCCCAAATAAGAATATTAAAAATCACATTAAATATATATCAACTTTTGATTTACTTAAAAAAAAAAGCCTGGAACTTCAATTTAACAAAAATGATGACTCTCCAAATACTGAAAACTGTGACATATAGCTCTTCAAATAAAACTCACTAAAAAATTATATGCGTGCTGTACACAGCCTATAAATAACAAGAACTACAGATGAAATTGATTAAAACTGTGTCTGTCAACTGAATTTTTCTTTAAGATTAATACAGCACTCAAGCCTTCATTAGTTTCTACTGTTTAAGTCAAATTCTAGCACAACAAAGACAAGGACATTTTCCATTTCTAAGTAACAGCACTTCTCCTTGGTTCTAAATTTATGAACATAAAATGGTTTACTAGACAATGATTATGACAAGTTCTAGAATTTATTATTTCTAAGCTACCTCCATTCTTTTTCTCCTTCCCTAATAGTTTATGAAAAACCATTCAGTTTAAAAGCTGTCCAGATCATTTCTACTCACTTGATAGATTCTTACCTTTTCCTTATTTAGGAACTTACTAGATCAGGAGTATCATCAAAAGTCTGATATATACAGAGAGTTTAAGTGATATGATGCATGCATATTTCACAAATAATTAGCATGTCTAATTTTATAAAGCATTCCATTTCAAAATCCAAATCTCACCTTATAATGAATAGCCAACTGAATGTCAATATCTTCCTCCATTAACATGATTAACTGTGATTACAACTGTTCAATGTAAAAATCTAGAAAGGGAAAGTATTTTTTACAACTTACCAAACATGCTAATACCAATTGTGTAAAATAGTCTCTCTTGCTTTTTTCTTCTAAACAATTTGTCTCAATATCTATAATGATGGAAGAAAGAAAGATGAAAGTTTGATTGATTTTTCCAGACTGTCTCCCGCACTATAAGATACTTATTTTCTTTAAAACTAAAATGCCTCATTCTGAAATTGGAAAAAAATTTGAAACTATAGTAAGCAGGAACTGTCCTTCATATGTATATGAATGCTCAGAATTAATTTCTCCTGATACTGCAGACTGACCCTGTGACCAATGGCATATCCATAAAATGGTAAGTTGATTACACAGGAGTTACAGGCTATGGCATTGGAAGCAACAAAACTTCAAAAAAATAATGTTTTCAAAAATGGAAATATTCAAGCAAAGTGTAAATGACAACACGTCAGAGATGCTAAAGAAGAGATTCCTTCTTTAGGTGCAGAATTGAATCAGGTGACAACAAAGATCTCTTCTAACACTAAAAGATCCTATTACTTGTGAAGATTAAACCTTTGACCTTGGTCACCTTGGTACCACGTTCTAACCAAACTACCTGGCCATCAACTCTACGAAAGGACAGTATTAAAAGAATATTTTTTACACCCTATTTTGAATTACAATTTGAATAGCGAACAAAAATTTATTCATGGTTTTTATTTTCTTCCTACTGAACTATTAAGAAACTGAAACCTCCAAGTTTTGGTAGCTTATTCAGAAAATTTGTCAAAAACTTTTATAAAGTATTGAGGAAATAAAACAATTAGTTCTTAATGCCAAGCATCAAAAAAGTCAACCAGGATTGACAGGATTACAAAACTGATCTCAGGATTACTGCTTTAATGGTTACATACTACTATATTAAGGTCAACTTTTAATTTACAAGAGACACCAATCTTAGTGATATAATAAAAATTGTCTTCTAAGGGTTCCATAGTTCTCCCCAGACGTCCTACCACTGATCTGCTTCAGTTTACTTTCTACTGCCATCACTGAGAATCAAAAGAGAGAGGAATTTATCATCAAACATATCCACGTTTTCCTGGCTCTTCTCCCCTTTCCCATCTTGGCCAGTGCCATTTCCCAATATCCTGGCCACTGCAGCTAAGCACATGGTCAGCTCAAGCATACTAAGAGAATTTCAGGGTATAATTTACACAACATAATCTGCAATACAATCTCATTTTTTCAATTAGACTTTTAATCCACGTGTATCTCATCAATCCCTTCCAGGGACTCCTAGTTGTCTCCCTGTTATCCCGTCTTCTGGTTCCTCCTCAGGCTAGAACTTCAAGGATACCAACCTTGAGGGCTAAGGACTAACCTGGGTCCATTCTTTTAACCAACATCTATCTACCAAGGCCCAAAAGTCCCTAATGTCTACCCCCAAAGACCCTCTATGATCAGAGCACCTGGATAGCAGGTTCATCCTCTTCAAGCCAAGTCTGCTCTTCTCTTAGCCGTCTGACCTGATCAAGATACCACTCACTGGGTTCTGACCATGTTAAGAAATGTTTATTAATAGGACCTCAGTAAACTACTTTGCTGAGCTATCTCAACAATCAGTACAGGACTCCATTATCACAATTATGTCTTCCCTGTTTCTTTCTTCTTTTTGTCCTAACGAAGTTATTCTAATAAATTCATTCATTATCCCTTAGTTATCAACCCTGAATCAGTACCTAGTAAATTCTCTTTAATTTCCCCTATGATTTTACTAAAAAGCCCTCAACCATTTCCAACTCTAAGTACAGAGCCGAAGGCAGAGGCTTTAACCCACTGAGCCACCCAAGTGCCCCCTTACATAGTCTTTTAAAGAAAACTGTAACCTTAACCAGTACACCAATGATCTTTCTTATAACTCTTAAAATACCAAAAAGACAACATGATATAGTAAAAAAAAAATTATGGGCTCTGGAACCAGAAAGACCCAGGTTCACACCCTGCTTTACTGGCTATGTGGCCTTGAAAAATCCCTTCTCTGAGCTTCAATTTTCTGATCTGTACACCTACTTTACATAAGTTGCTGTAAAGATTAAAATGAAATTAAATGCATAACACAATGCTTAGAACATAGAAGGTGCCCCCAAAATCGCATCTACATTATTATCGCCAGTATCATTATAGAGGTAGCTCCCATTCTTACTCCTATTCCCCAAGTTTGGTCTGGAGTCATCCTTCGACCATTTTTTTTTCTGCTATCGGTGAAGGTGGGTGAGTGAGGGGACAGGTGCGGGAAATTTCTCGTTCTAAGTTTGCCATTCTAATCTCGCTTACAAAAACTGACTGGCTAGGGAACCTGGGTGGTTCAGTGGGTTAAGCCTCTGCCTTCGGCTCAGGTCATGATCCCAGGGTCCTAGAATTGAGGCCCGCATCAGGCTCTCTGCTCAGCAGGGAGGCTGCTTCCCCCTCTCTCTCTGCCTACCTCTCTGCCTACTTGTGATCTCTCTCTCCCTCTGTCAAATAAATAAATTTTTAAAAATCTTAAAAAAAAAAAAAAACTGACCAGCTAAAAGAAAATTCCCAAGAGCAACCAAACATCCTCATAAATTTACGTTAATAATAAAAAGCAATGACTTGTAACAATGATTCATATTACTAAGTAACTACAAAGGGAAAATATATCCTAATAGAATAAATCAATAAAGAAGTTACTCGAACTTACAAGTAAACTGATAGCTGATAATTATCCAAAGACATAAAATATACTCCTGACACTATCAAGGAACAAAAGCTTACACAAAATGTTACCTACAAATCACTCTTTCAGTCCTATAAATTTATAGTAAAAACAATTTTTTTAATTTTTGTTTTAAAATTTGTTTCAAGTTATATTTATATGTAACATAATGTAATACCTTTAGCACCTGCTTTAAGAAATTAAACTTATAAGGTTTTGTTGTTGTTGCTGGCATAAATCAATTCAAAAGACAGTATTAACTTATACTTTATATCCAAACCTGGACAGTTTTATAAAATTGAAATAAGATGCTATTAATTATGCCAGGGAAAACAAAACAAAAGTGGGACATACGGTCACCCCATCAGTGGTCTGCTCTTTTCATTTACCATTCACAGTCCACATATATTTTGACCTGTTCTGACATTACTGCTGTTATGAAATCTTAAACATCCTGAAAGATCAAGCACCAGGTATTCAGAATTGATGAGATCAAATTCCCAGATTCTCAGTAAGACATTTAAGTAACCTATCTATTCTAGGAATTAAGATTAATGAGCTAAATTAATTCACTCCAGCTTGACAAACTCTCAGAGGATGTCTTATTTAATTTTAAAGTGAATATTATAATGTCTGGTAAAGGTTTCTCTTAGATCAAAGTTTTAGAAAGCATAACACTGATGGGGAAAACTGTGCTCGAAGTTATTTTAATTCAAATCTAAAATTAAGAGAAATAAATTTATAATATACATTATTTTTTAAATCCATGCTTCCCATGGAGGGACACTACCTTTTGTTCTAAGTCAAAGAAATATCCTTTTTTATCTTGCATAAATTCTTATTTATTCTGGACAAATAGAGAAGTTGCTATTTCCAAAGCTGGTTTCTCATCCTCAAAACAAAAGTACTTTTGATTACTTTGGCTCTTCTTGCTCTTTCTAAAATTAAGAAGAATCAAAAGAGTATAATAGCAAAGTAAATACCTCTTGAGTGTCCTAAGTTTGAGATTCTGACATTCATTGATAACCTCCACTGAGTAAGATTAAATAAGTGGTTACTAAAATCTGAGTAATTCAGACTAACTGAACTTCAAAAAACTTAGCTTTTTTTATTTGAAATGACTTAATTTAGCTCAATTTTATATAAACATACATTCTGCAAAACTCAAACTATTTCAATTATAAATTATGTCCAAAGCTAGTTTATAAACAGTGATCATACTCACATTTGACTTATAACACTATATTCTCTATAAATTAAAAAAACTATATAATCTAGTTTCTACAAATTTGAAAGAAAACATTTTACCTAAACACAGTACATTAATCTACCAAACAGCACTTTTACAGGTGAAATAAAGGCTTGATACCTACCTAATATGCAGAATACATCAGCAAGAATGGAGGGCATATCCTCACGAAATTCCTAATTATAAAAATATAATTATTCATAGTAAATACAAGAATAGCACACTAGTAAGTTTGGTTTCAGAATAATACTCTTCAGTAAAACTTAAAACCTAACAAAACCCCAACACCTCTAAATAATAAAATTCAAGTTTCATAATACAGAGAAAACAGAAAGAGACAATAGTTGGAAAAAAAATGTTTAAATGTCTACCATGAAAAAAGCTGATAAAAAACTTGATTAAAAAACCTAACATGCACCTGAGAAAATATTAAAGAGCATTAATGAATGACACTTTTCCAATGAAGTTTCATGTTAGAAACCACCGGAATTTGGGTACCTTAAGCCTACTGTTAAAATGGTACATTTTTTATCTACAACTTTAAATGTGCTCATGCCTGAATCAACACTGATTTATGCAAAAGTCCTAGTGGTATCAGAACAGAAATCTAAAAAATACAAAAACAATTACAAGCTGTCATTCCATAACTCAAGATACTCTGAAGATGAAAACAATTACCAAAAATCCATCTTTATTTTCTTTATGCACTGATATTTGTAGCCTTTGGAGAAACTAAGCCAAAATTCTCCCCTCATTTCTGGATGAAAACTTCAGCATTTATTCTAGATTTGTCTCCTGACTTCCTACTCCCATGCCCAATTTTAGAAACACTTTCCATTAGTAAGGATCAAAGTTCAACCACTGCAATTAGTTTGCTGGCACTATAGCAACCCTTAAACTAGCCTATTTTCAGAGAGTAAAGGAAAGAAATATAATCCTAACAACAAAACTGGCAGCTGTAGGAGACATGCAAGATACGCTTCCATGGCTAAGGCAGGGGACTATGGGACTATGAGAAAGCCATGAGAAAGAATCCAGCTGCAAAGGTGTATATAAAGACTCAAAGGAAAGGGGAAGCTAAGTAAAAACAAAATATGTATTAAGTCCATTTGGACTGTTCATTTTCAAAAAATGGGGAAAACATTAGAACTGAATCCTAAACAGACTATACCAATAGCCAATTTACAGAATGAATGAACCTTAATTGCACACCACTTTAGTCTCAAAAGTTTCTTAAGGGCTATGAATTTCTGCCATGTCTACTTGAATCCAAGTACTCAGGCTACTCAAAGAAAAGAGCAAGACAAGAGTTTTCAATATGGAATATTAGTTGTTGAAAAAAACAGACTACTCCAACATGAATTAATACATTAATACTGCTGTGGTCAGATAGAGACAGTTTAAGGATAAAAGAGAAACTCATATTGAACCTCAACTGCTCAACTACATTTCAGTATGTAGGGGGAAAAAAATCACAACAGCTAAACATAGAAGTTCCTTGTGACTATCCTCAGAAAAGCACAGAAAGCGTATGAAGGAGAGTACCTATCCTAACAACAAAAAAAAAAAACCTAGAGAAGCTTAAAGCAGCACAAGGGAAATTCATACTGGTGTCAAGCTCCAGGACCTGCACCTCGATAATACTCATGAAAGCTGCTCTCAACTGTGTAGATAATTTAATTTATATAAGGTTAAAATCCAGCCTAATAATAATAGAATAATATACCACTTAAATAAGTTAAGAAACTCAACTACTGGTTTACAATCAACACCCTTACAATTTGAGAGCTCATCTTACAATTCAAATACCAAACACCCATGAAAAGTATCTGGTCTGAATCTAACTTAAATTCTCTAATAAATAAAAGAGTGAGACAGAAAAATCATGTAAAGTTTAGGAAAAACTCTAGTTATTAATATTTTCTAACAGGAAACACATGAAAATTGCCATCTAGTGAGCATTAGTTAGAACTACGCAACCTCAATTTTAAATAATTTAATTCTCAAATTTTAAAATTTATTTCATTTCTAGACATAACTGCAAACAAAAAATGTTTTGATATGCTACACTGGGAGAAAAATATTCTAGTCGAATTATTTTTATAGTAGCATTTTTAATTAAGTATATCGTGATTTTGTTACAAGGCAGGGTTGGGGTTTTTTTTTTTGCCCTCTCAGCTTACCTAACATTTTCTGCTTTACTCACAACCAGACAAAAAGATTAGAATATCTTTATTTCTTCCTAGCAACAACAGCTTACCAATATTGCCTTAAAACATTTACTACTATAATTTTGAACAAAATGAAATGCAAATTATATACTTTAGGGATCTTTGTATCAAAGGCAAAAAGAAATATGTAATAATTATTAAATTTTAAAAACATGTGTGTCTTTGTGTGTGTATATACTTACGCTAATGTCATTAAGAACATTAGATGCCTGTTCATGCTTTAGATTTCCTTTAATGACATGGTAAGATAACTCATAAAGAGCCTGCTGGAAATCTGTTGAACATAAAAGAAAGAGTATAAGAATACAATCTCTTAAACATAAAAGGTGGGTCCTTCTGAGGGAAGACCTCTATATTTCCTACTTCTCAAAATTATATCAAAAATAATAAGAAAAATATACTTTTAGTGCTTTTCTCTAGCAGATTTTTTTCCCTTTTACTTTCACAAAAACACAACACTAAAAGTAGAAAATAGTTAACCTTGACTCTACTACTATAACTATTGCTTAAACATTTCCTTCCAATCTTTTTCAATGTATTTACATATTTTACATATTTGCAATCACAGTGCACATCACTTGGTACTCTGATTCCCCCATAAACACTTTTTGAAGTATTTTATCATGCTACCAAAGTCTCCAAAATTATTTTCAGTGACTGCATGGAATTCCAGCAGGTGGATATAAACTAGTGTAACCATTTCTCTCACCAGCAAATTCCACAAAGTTATCCTCAATATATTCAGATTACAGTCAATTTAATCTCAGTGCTAAATTGACAACGGGTAAAGAATACCAGTCAACATAAAATCAAGTTTTATCCATATCCTACTCTCAGAGAAATTTCTCCCCAAATGTAGATCTTTTCTCCTCTAGTTCCACAAGAATTCAAACTAAAATAATTACATACATACATACATACAAAAGAAAATGGCAGTTCTGTGAGAACTGTCAACCACAAATAGTCTCATTCACAATTACCATAGCTTCCTTCCCTGGAGAAGGAATGGGGGGGGGTGGCTAATGGTCATGTGAATGCCTCCTTCTGGCCATATTTTTCTTAAGTTCTATACATTGAAAACTTTACCTCCTTTCTCTCATTAAAAGTAGAACAATTGTACGGTGACAGATGGTAGCTATGCTTGTGGTGAACATAGCATAATGTATAGGTATAGAGTTGCTGAATTACTATGTTGTACACCTGAAACTAATTTATTATGTGTCGCCTATATTTAATTTTAAAAAAAGGTAGAAAAACAAGTAGCTCTAAAAACAGCTGTAAAATAAAGTCAATTTATCCTTCTGAAGGGAATCAATACTCTTTCAGGGCAAAATAGCAAGTAAAACATCAAATATTTGGGGCGCCTGGGTGGCTCAGTAGGTTAAGCCTCTGCCTTCAGCTCAGGTCATGATCTCAGGATCCTGGGATCTAGCCCCACATCAGGCTCTCTGCTCAGCGGGGAGCCTGCTTCCCCCTCTCTCTCTGCCTGCCTCTCTGACTACTTGTGATCTCTGTCAAATAAATAAATAAAATATTTTTTTAAAGAAATCAAATATTTAAGAATCTTCTCCCAGGGGCACCTGGGTGGCTCAGTCGTTGAGCGTCTGCCTTCAGCTCAGGTCATGGTCCCAGGGTCCTGGAATGGAGCCCCACATCGGGCTCCTCCTCCTCAGGAGGCCGGCTCCTCCCTTTCCCACTCCCACTCCCCCTGCTTGTGTTTCCTCTCGGTCTCCCTTTCTATCAAATGAATAAATAAAATCTTTTTTAAAAAATACAAATTAAAAAAATTAAAAAATACAAATCTTCTCCCTTAGTTTGATTACTTGTCATAAAAAAGGAACAGGGTAGAAATCAAAACTTTTATCAACCCTTTAAACAACCTCATTTACAATGTTATTAATTTACAATTATTTTACAATGAAATAAGTTTGTCCACTAAATTATCTGCTAAAGAAATACAGCCAGAGGGCACCTGGATGGCTCAGTGGGTTAAGCCTCTGCCTTAGGCTCAGGTCCTGATCTCAGAGTCCTGGGATCCAGTCCCACAACCACATCTTACATCTGCATCGGGCTCTCCACCCAGTGGGGATCCTGCTTCCCCCTCTTTCTCCGCCTGCCTCTCTGCCTACTTGTGATCTCTCTGTCAAATAAATAAATAAAATCTTTAAAAAAAAAAAAAAGAAAGAAAAGAAATACAGCCAGAGGGAGCCTGGGTGGCCCAACAGTTAAGCATCTGCCTTCAGCTTAGATCATGATCCCAGATGAAGCCCCATGTCCGACTCCCTGCTCAATGCGGAGTCTGCCTCTCCCTCTCCCGACCTGTGTGCTCACTCATACTCTCTCTCTCTCTCTCTCTCTCTCTCTCACTCCCTCTCTCAAATAAATAAAAATCTTTAAAATAAAAAAATTTAAAAAAGAAATATAGCCAGAGTATTTCAATTTCTTATGAAGAATTCATTATTAAACATATTCTATACCTTTTTCATAAATATGCCTTCATTATACTTATAATAAACTATATAAAAGCTAAAATGCAAAGAAAAACTTTTCTATCTGGTAATATGGTAGAAATACGAAGTTGATTTCATGCTTTCAATTTCCATTAATAAAATGCTTTTATAACAAATAGGCACTTGTTTTTAAAGTTATCCAGGGACACCTGGCTGGCTCAGTCAGCGGAGTATGCAACTCTTGATCTCGGGGTTGTGGGTCCGAGCCCACATTAGGTGTAGAAATTACTTAAAAATAAAATCTTTTCAAAAATTAAAAACTAGGGGACACCTGGGTGGCTCAGTCGATTAAGCCGCTGCCTTTGGCTCAGGTCATGATCCGGGTGTCCTGGGATTGAGTTCTACATCGGGCTCCTTGTCCAGCAGGGAACCTGCTTCTCTCTCTGCCTCTGCCTACCACTCTCCCTGCCTGTGCTCTCTCTCTCTGACAAATAAATAAATAAAATCTTAAAAAAAAATTAAAAACTAGGAGCGCCTGGGTGGCTCAGTGGGTTAAGCGTCTGACTCAATTTTGGCTCAGGTCATGATCTCAGGCCCATGGAACTGAGGCCCGCATCAGGCTCCACACTCAGTGGGGAGTCTGCTTCTTTCCCTCTCTCTACACCGTCCCCGGAGTGTGTGCTACCTCTAAAATAAATAAATAAAATTAAAGTTATCCAGATAACGAAGTTTAAGGAAAAAAAACAATCGCTCTTGGAAGGACAAAACAGCTAAACAACATAAACTAAATTCCCAGAAGAATATGGGCTCATAGGAGCTGAGGAAATTCTAATCTTAATCAGAGAAGGAGATTAAAATAGAGAACAAATAGCCCAGGTCATTTTGCTGACACTAAGTGACATAAAAACAATCATAATGTCATCCACAAAACAGGAAAGGCAGTCCCCAATTCATATGTTTTTAAATGCCCATTTAAGCTGTCGGAACATCTATTGTATTTTAGCCACTGAAACAAGAAGTGGTATTTTAAGACTACCAAGGCTAAACCCCCAAAAATCCTGTAAAATCTATACTACAGTTGAAAAACATTACATTTACAAAGTGGAGGAAAATTTAATAAGCCTTATAATTATAGACAGAAATAAAAGATTTTATCTTAATGCTAACATTTCAGAAAAAGTAGGGTTTTTCCTTTGTTTATTTTTAGTATTCTCCACACCAAGAGTGGGGCTCAAACTTAGGACCTGCAGATCAAGAGCTGCATGCTCTTCCAACTAAGCCAGCCAGGCACCCCTCAGAAAAAGTAGTTTAAAGGACAGCCACAAGTAAAAGGGACTTCTAGAGATTCTTAGAGATTCTTTATGGGATTTCAACACAGAAGACACTAGTTCTTGGTTATGTCAGGACTACTCATGTTTACCAGCCATCATTACAATATCATCTTACTGGGGGGAAGGGATTTATAAAAAAGAAGTAGTGTGAGCAAAGGATACTGAGAAGGCAGGGGCAGAAAGGGAAAGGGCTCAGGGAACACTGCCCAAACTCAATCCCCCTGAGACAGAACGAAGGAAAATTCTGAAGAAATGACATTCCTAGTTTTCTGCATGGACTACCAAATGAAGCCCTTAGACCAAAGCTTGACTGCTGGCAGCTATCAGCCAAAGAATGTATGTATTGTGGAAGTAGGCAAGGGCAGGTAAAAGACAGCATCAGCAATTCAATCAATGAGGCCACACTCATAACTATTTTTGGTTTCATACATGAATCAGAACAACCATGCAAATTAACAATAATCTGGTAGTTATTAAAGATCCATACAGTCCCTTTTAAAATTGAAGAGTAATCATCCTGTGTTACATTATTTCAGTTTTTTGCAAATTCTTTCTCTTATTTTACCCAGATAAGATTTCAATCACAGACAAGATCAAAATTAACTGAGAAGTTATAAACTTGTTTTAAACATAGAGAAGGAAAAAAGTTAAGTATCCAAGTGCTTTTAGGAAGGATTCTTTCTTTACTTTCTTACAATTCTGGCAGTCAACTGACTTATTCAAAGAAAAGGCATTACAGGGCACCTGGGTGGCTCAGTCCTTAAGCGCCTACCTTGAGCTCAGGTCATGATCCCAGGGTCCTGGGATCGAGCCCCACATCAGGCTCCCCACTCAGCGGGAAGCCTGCTTCTCCCTCTCCCACTCCCCCTGCTTGTGCTCCCTCTCTTGCTGTGTCTCTCTCTAACAAATAAATAAAATCTTTTTTTTTTTTTTTTTAAAAGGCATTATAGCAACCTCAGAAATCTTTATGAAAGATCATGCAACTTTATAAGCAGGCTAAACTGGAAAATAATTGGGGGTGCAAGCTAGTAATGTTAACACAGGTCTTACCCAAATGACAAAAAAAAAAGGGGCTCATTTGTTAAAAAGTGCTTTCCACTCAAAAATTCAAATGTTCTTTAAAGTATACACTCTCATATTAAGATAATATTTAATTTTTGATAAAACAAAAGTAAATTTATCTATAGAAAAACGTTTTTAGGGGCACCTGGGTGGCTCGGTGGGTTGGGCCTCTGCCTTTGACTCAGGTCATGATCTCAGGGTCCTAGGATGGAGCCCCACATCAGACTCTCTGCTCAGCAGGGAGCCTGCTTTCCCCCCACTGCCTGCCTCTCTGCCTACTTGTGATCTCTGTCTGTCAAATAAATAAATAAAATCTTTTTTAAAAAAGTTTTTAATCTTCTATTCACAAAGGCATAATTTAAATAACTATAATGAATTTTATTTAAAATAGACTACTGGTTATAAATTATTTTTTCCAGACTGAAAAAAACTGTTATTGGTTCTACCCTCAGTGAAAGCTGCATATGAAAATGCTTTAAACTTACTAGACATAATTGTTTTTGCCCCTCCTCTTCTAAATACAAATGCCTAATTTTAAATTAATAAATGCTAAACAGTAAAAGCCTTTAAAATTAAAATTTACATCCTGTTTAATTACATCTTACTTAATAAATCATACTTGTGATATGCAGTAAACAACTCCTTTGCTTTTAATGTTTTCCATGACAACTGCCTTTAATAAGATCCCCAGATACTACCTAAACATAAGCAGCTTTAGTAAAAACACCACCTCAGTTTCTGGAAATTTCCTAATGCAAACAAGATCAGAATCGTTTTCCCATGCTAGCTCTTCTCTTCTGTTTATGACTGAGAGCTAGCCTGTGTAATTTTTAATACAGCTAGCAACTGCTGATATTTGGCCAAATATACCATGTCACAAGGATAAAAGCCAAGCGATACATAACTATTATGCAGATCAAACATCTATATACAGAAATACATAGTCTTACTATAACTATAGTTTTAATCCTAATTATACTCTCATAAAGGCTTTATATAATGTGAACTATTTCCTATCTTTTGTTTTTCATTCATAACAATATAACAGAAAACAGAACATCTATTAATTTTCACCAAGCCAAAAATAATAGCTATGATACTTTTAAAAGTCTTACCTCTGTAAGTTGAACTATCATGGCTTTTATTTTCACTGAGGATCCGGCACAAATGCAAACTAGAATAAAACAGAAATAATCTGCATTCATTTCCAATCCTAATATAGATGACACTTAGAGAGCAAATTATATCAACTAAAAATACCTGGAAACCTATCAGGTTTGTTTAAATCTATTAGTTTATAATGAGAATAAAACAAACATAAAAACCCTAATTGGTCAGAACTCGAAGATGCTAGTAAATCAATCATTTTTGAAAACTGGAAACGAGGGGCGCCTGGGTGGTTCAGAGGGTTAAAGCCTCTGCCTTCAGCTCAGGTCATGATCCCAGGGTCCCGGGATCGAGCCCCGCATCGGGCTCTCTGCTCAGCAGGGAGCCTGCTTCCTCCTCTCTCTCTGCCTGCTTCTCTGCCTACTTGTGATCTCTGTCTGTCCAATAAATAAATAAAATCTTTAAAAAAAAAACTGGAAATGAATAAAAATCAAGCACTTATTCTGCCTTTCACATACGAACCAGTAACTGAAAAGAAATGACTCTGTACTCAAGTATTTCAGATAATAAAGAATGACAGAAGAACATCATCATCCAAAGATCCCTAATAAATTAAAAGATCTAAGCACCTATCAATAGCTGTTTACATCACAAGAAGAGACACTGAAACATTCTGTGTGTTCTAATCATGATGAAAGAATACACCACCCACCTACGAAGTTGTCTTTAAGGAGAAAAAAAAAAAGCCATGAACCTAAATTTGAACCGTGGGAAACTCTGTACAATGACCCAGTCTCTTCAACAAAAACACTGCAAGAGGTGCCTGGGTGGCTAGGTTGGTTAAGCGCCTTCCTTTGGCTCAGGTCATGATCTTGGGATCCCGGGATCAAGCCCCACATCAGACTCCCTGCCAAGTCTGCTTCTCCCTCTCACACTGCCTGCTGCTCCCCTTGCCTGTACTCTCTATATATATATCAAATAAATAAAATCTTAAAAAAAAATACACTACAAGGACAAATTAAAGATGCTGGGGAATCCTCAGGGTAAAAAAGCCTTCAGAGATACATCAATCACAGTGTTTGGGTCCTGTTTTAAACAAGTATTTTTTTAAATTAGTATTTCTGAATCAGGGTGCCTGGGTGGCTCAGTTGGTTAAGCGACTGCCTTCTGCTCGGGTCATGATCCTGGAGTCCTGGGATCAAGTACTGCATCAAGCTCCCTGCTTAGCGGGGAGTCTGCTTCTCCCTCTGACCCTCTCCCCTCTCATGCTCTCTCTCTCTCTCAAGTAAATAAAATCTTTTTTTAAAAAATTTAGTATTTCTGAATCAACTGGAATATATTTTTTTTAAAGATTTTTTTATTTATTCATTTGACAGAGAGAGTGAGAGAGAGATCACAAGTAGGCAGAGAGGCAGGCAGAGAGAGGAGGAAGCAGGCTCACTGCTGAGCAGAGAGCCCGATGTGGAGCTCGATCCCAGGACCCTGAGATCATGACCTGAGCTGAAGGCAGAGGCTTAACCCACTGAGCCACCCAGGTGCCCCTCAACTGGAATATTTTATAAAGATCTTATAAACTTTGGGGGTGCCTGGGTGGCACATTCAGTTAAAGCATCTGACTCTTGGTTTTGGCTCAGGTCTGATCTCAAGGCCGTGAGATCAAGCCCCGCATGGACTCTGCGCTCATCAAGAAGTGGCCTTGAGGGGCGCCTGGGTGGCTCAGTGGGTTAAAGCCCCTGCCTTCAGCTCAGGTCATGATCCCAGAGTCCTGGGATCGAGCCTCGCATGGGG